CCTTTTTATATGCCTTATATGTGTTATTTCATTTAATCTCCGCATCCCTACATGGTGAATACTATTATTATGCTCATTTCACTGACCAAGACCTAGAAGAATAGTTGCTTGCCCAAGTTCATATTTCCAAATCTACCAGGACATTGTACATCCAGATTTAAGCTTTTATGTATTGTACATGCAGATTTAAGCTTTTATACCTTTCACATTTAATTGTGGGTTTCAAGTGTTTACATTTATTTTATTTAGAATATATATTTTATTTTTGACAGAAACTATATCTTAAATCAAGATTCAATATAGTAAGCAAAGTTAAGTAGGGAACCAATAAATGTTTATTAACCTTTGATTAAGACTATTGTATTACAGCATCAAAAGACAAAAAGTATACTGCTTGTATGCTTTCTCAATGAAATGATGGCATTTTTTTCCCATTTCTGTAGCAACGCATAGGCAAGTGTAGGCATCATGAAATTGTGTGATCTAATAACAGACCAGAATCTTATGAAAGCTGATAGTTTGGATCTCTAACAGTACTGAGCAGACTGGTAAAGTTTGAATGCATCTGATTCTTGAAATTGTGAAATTTCATGAGAGAGGGGAACCCAGAGAGTACATCATGAAAACCAGAGGAGAGAATTTCTAGAGGACATCTTAGCAACCTGCTGTCGCAAAAGAAATTGAAGGAATTGGTACACAAGTGTCAGGTGCTTCTGAAAGATTAAAGCGAAATTGGAACTGAGAAAGGCCGTGTAGTGATTTGGGCAGTAGTGACTTTGAAAAAAAGAGTTTCACTATAGTTGAGGGATATAGAGGCCAGAGGTGGAATATTACACCTGGAAGAAGTTTTAAATAGTTGTCTAGATTTCCTCTTTACATATAAAATGTCTGAGGTTCAGAGAGGTTAAATAATTTAAACTAGGTGCGTAGTTCGCAACAGGTGATGACTTTACCACTCAAGGGGCATTTGGCAATGTCTTGACATTTTTGATTGTCATAACTGGGGAAGGGTGTGCTACTGGCATCTAGTGGGTAGAAGCAGGGATGCTGTAAAACATCCTACAGTGCACAATAGCCTGCCCCTGTCGCTGTGATACACACACACACACACACACACACACACACACCAACGAATTATCTGGTCCCAAATGTCAGTATTTCTAAGGTTAAGAAACTCTTATCCAGATCACCAGCAGATGCTAAATCCAATATACTTGTAAGGAAGTAGAAATAATGGATATAGACTACTCTTCAGTAGTGAGTAAAATAGGGTGGCAGCTTCAAGAGGGGTTTTGGAATGTTTCTTTGAAGAGGAAAGCATACTTAGCATACTTGGGAAGAAACCAGTATACAGTGGAAGATATTAAGGGTAAAAGTTAGAAAGGGAAAAACTGAAGAGGCAAAGTCTGGACATAGATGGAATCAGACATTCAGTGTTAGGCAGTAGCCTCTGCGTTTTCTTACATCAGGTTAATTATCTTACTCTAAGCAGTATCAAAGGAGGGCTATAATCCTGATGTTAACAGTTTTGGAGCAAATATGTTTCTAGAAATAGAGAGTTAGTCTAAAAAAACCTGTCTTTTAAAACAAATAATTTAATGATCCAATGAAGTTATAAAGTTATAATGATATACAGCATCTGTAACGTAAACTCTAAGGAGAGTTAATCTCATTTAGTGTTAGGTGTCTAGACTGCCCTAGACTCCATTCCAAGCCTCTCCTCCCACTATTTATATGACCTTGGCGAGTTTTGGAATCTCTCAGTCCCTATATCTTCATCTATGTAAAGTATTCAGTAAATGTTAGCTATTAAACAGGAGTTCCATGCAGTAACAGTTTGTCAGTAATCCTGTGATGATTTTACCCACAGAGGTAAAGAGGTAGAGATACTCTGTCAAACAAATATCACTTTTTTGTGTGTATGTGTGTAATTAATCATTTGGTTATATAACCTTTGGCTCCTGTAGTAAAGAGGTATGATTATTTGACTTACAATGGAACCCTTAGGGGAAAACTAGACATATTAAAATTATCTTTGTTTATAATTCTCAGGTTCTACTTATAATTGTACATATTTTGTATTCTTAAATAAATGGTTGATGTAATTTAGAAAAGTGCATACCCACCTTTCTCTTATATATAACGTACAGCTTTAAACGTTATATTTTAAGTATGTAAAAGTACACATGGGAATTTGTACCTGATGAACTACATCCTTTTTCTCAAGAATCCTAGGCTATGTCCATAGTAGGAAAAAAAGAACATCACATTTGTCCTTCTGTTATCAACTCTAGTAATGGACTTTATTTAAACAAAACTCTTCTGATGCTGGCTGACTCTGTCTGCACTTAAGCTTCAGCTGTTTTCTTGTTTGTTTGTTGTTTGTTTTTTCAGATCAACAGAAACATTTAAAAAAGAACATGATCTTGACAGTCTTATTAACGAAATATTTGAAGAGCCCAACTTTGACAAAAAATGCTTTGTAAGTCAAATGTTCTAAATGTACAGTAATTGTTTCATTATCTCAAGACATGTTTAGAAAATAGTCTGAAAACTTATTAGAATACACAAGTATCTATAGTCCTTTGGATTCTGAGAAATACAATTATTTAAAGAAATTATTCCACTTAGATTTAAATAAGAAAAAAATTAGAAACTGTGTTTTGTTTTTCATTTCTCAGCAAGAATGAGAAATTAGAAAAGCCGTTGAACAAAAGTCAACTTGCAGATGAAGTTGGTTACTTGTATTTATTTGTATACTCTAGGAATACTTTTCTAAAAGACCAAAATCAGCTTTCATTATAGGAATGTGCTTAGCATCTCAAATGCTTTGCCGTTGCTCTCATCCCATGAACTAATCAGTTAAGTTGGTAGTATTTTATTTTTTTAAATGCTTATATATCTATATCAACTTTATAAAGGCTCATAAAATAATATAACAACCACCTATATATTTACTAGTCATACTGAACGTATCTTAACATTTTGCCAGATTTGCTCCTCTGGATTTTTTTTTTTTTTTTTTTGCCACACCATGTGATTTGTGGGATTTTAGTTGCCTGACCGGGCATTGAACCCAGGACACAGCAGTGAAAGCGCTGAGTCCCAACCACTGGATCGCCAGGGAACTCCCTGGACTTTTTTTAAAGAAATAAAAATGATAGTTTAAGAACTCTCCAAATCTTATTCTACTGCCTTCCTTCCCAAAGGTAACCATTAGCCTTTCCATCCATACTTTTATACTTTTATTCCACATGTATGTAACCATAAACAATTTTAACTAATGTATAGCAGTCCCTTACGTAACTCCACCACAGTTTATCTACATCCCTGGTGATTAGACATTTTGATTATGCCAAGTTGTTGCTCTTACAAACAGTGCTTCATCAAATATCTTTGTATGTCTTTTTTTTTTTAACCCATGTGTAGGAGTTTCTCTAGGATATATAAACCTAGGAAGTCGCAAGGTATGCTCATCTTCAACTTTTCTACCCATTACCAAAATGTTTCCCAAAGTGACTGTCTTATTTGTATTCTTCTCACCAGCAGTGATGAGAATGTATATACTTTCATTTTTACCAGTTTGGTAGGCACAGAATATATTTGTTAGATATATATATATTTGTTAGAAAGAGACCAAATGGAAGTCTAAATTACAAGGACCACAAGGAAAAAAAATCTAAGAAATAAATATAATACCAAAGAGGGTTGGTTTGTTTGTTTTTAAGGTAGGGAAGATTAAAGCAAGACAGTGGACTAAAAATAACTAGGCAATGATTGTGTTAAGATTATGGATATGGGCCACTTCTTTTTTTGTCAGACTAAAATTTAAGTGACTGGTATAGATCTTAAGCTTTGTATTTCTGTGTGCCAGAGGGGAGAGGAGTGGGAGAGGTGAGTGAAATACATGAGGGATGTACAAACTTGCAGTTACAAAATACATGAGTCACAGAGATGAAATGTACAGCATGAGGGATATAGTCAATAATACTGTAATAGCTCTGTATGGTGACTAGACTTTCTGTGGTGATCATTTTGTAATGTATAGAAATACCAAGTCAGTATGTTTTACCCCTGAAACTAACATAGTGTTGTGGGTCAATTATACTTCAATTAGAAAAAGAAAGAACAAAAATAAAACCAAGTTTAAAAAATCTTAATTTCTCTACATTCAACATTTTCAGTTCATCTGTGGTAAATTAATAAGCTGATGGCCTAGTTGAATAACATGTCAACACAATAGCAATGGTGTTGAATACTCTGCAAACAGAATGCATCATAAATGCTGAATAGCAATACTAATTTAATTAGTGGTAGGAAAAAAACTACATGATGTTATTCATTGATCATCTGAGCGATTCATTATTTAGTAAGCACTACAGGGTATGTATCTGTGTGTGAGGCACTGGTCTCTTTGGTTCAAGGCATTTCAGAAAGAGAAGGAAATACTTCTCTAAAGAAGTATTAGAGAAGATATACTAATCTGAAATAAAAATAGCTCTTATAATCATGAAGAATAAGCTTTTATGCACTTCTCCTGTGTGCTCCCTTTTTGAAGTTAGTTATTATATCCAGTTTTCCAGCCTGCAGGGGAGAAAGCAACCCAAGTAAACTTCTGGAGGAAAGCAGATCAATGTAAAACACCGATTGGATGAGGAAAGGAAGTGTCTGTGAATTGCTCGTCCATATGCCCACCTTGTCCTCAGAGGCCAGATGCTCTTGAGAGTATTGGTCCCTCCTCCATTGCTCGCCCATCCTGTTGTGTTTCTTTTTTTTCTTAATTTAAGTATAGTTGATTTACAATATTACATCAGTTGCAGGTTGTTTTGTTCGTTAACCACTCCCAGACTCACACAAGAAAGCCCAGAAACAACAGCAGATGTCCCAGTGTGCCAGCCTTGAGTTGTAAACACAAGCCTGGATGGCACATGGAGTGTGCTCCCAAAGACAAAAAGAGACTTAGGCACATTATTACTTTTCAGCTATGCACCAAAAATGTTTCCAGTTCTGTTTAACATCAGTTTTATTCAACAAATAAAAGAGTTAAGAGAAATAGTCAAGTATTTTTGCCTCCATTAAATTTCCTCACCTACTAGGTAAATTGATGGCATGTCTCTGCATAGTTTAAATTGCCTTTTCTCCATCCTACTTCCTTTCCTTGGCGGTGGTCCTAGCATGTGGTCGGCCATGTTGTTTGGTACCTTATACCAGTTAACACTTAATAAATGCTTGCTAATGATGATGTTATGTAACCATATAGGAACTACTGTATGGTTGTGACTAGGTAGCTCTGCATTTTCCTTGGACATCTAATGGTTGATACCATTTCATCTGATCAAAATTAATATTCCTGAAGTTACCCAGGAGTTTGGTTAGTTTATTTTTAGTTCAGGTGAGTACCATTCACAGCCTTTAAAATGAGTCTGAGGTTTTTTTACTCCTCAATTGAATTTTTCCAGGATGAAGTTTTAAACAGCAGCTCCTTCATATTAAATCATTGAACTCTAGTATTAACTGAAGAGTTATAAAGTGACTCTAAATCTTAGCATGCTAATAATGGCAGTATATCAATTTTCTAGACTAAATGTTAGCATAGTAATTCGTAAATTCCTCAGGGAGGTCTGCTTCCCTTTTGCCTTTAAAGGGTTTTGATCATTGTTTTCATTTCAGAAACTTTAAAATCATAGGAAATTTTAAGCCATTTTTAAGATATCCTTGTTATAAAATAAAGAATATTAGTTTTCATGTTACAATTCTCTAAGTTACCCTTGGCCTTTTATTGTTTTGTTTTTTTAACAGAAATTAAAATCTAAATCTTCAGGTAACACATCTGTCAGAGCTTCCACTCAAGGCCCTGGTAAGAGGTAAGTGGGGATTGTTTTGGTGAATTATACACACTGATGAGCATGGTCTAGTAGATTTTGTTACCGTTTAACAACATTGAGCAACAAAGCACCACTGGTCGGCTTTCAGGAGACAGACCAACAGCAGCATTTTTCAGTGTTCTTATGGTCTGTGACTCCTTAGTGTAAAGGAACTTGAATGGGAGGTTATTGCTATTGTAAATAATTTTCTGCTGCATAAAAAAAAAAAGTGTGAATGGTTTCTCAAAATTAATGTTCTGTTATATTCTTCAGTATTTACTTTGTCCCTTACATTATTTGGCAAACACATTTTTCTGTGACTCATTTTAACTCCTTGAGTGTTCCTGAATATACAGGTTTTATCCAATAACACACTGACCCTGAAATAAATACCTCTTCCTTGAAATAGTTGGCTTGCTCAGGAAAATATACAATTTGATTACAAGAATATAGAGTCAATGAGGCCAAATTAACTTCTCATGTTTCTTTTATGTTTTAATTTTATTTTTCTTCCATCTGTTGAACATGTCCAGCTGCAGCCCAGTATACCTTGGTGGAAGCGCTGTTCCACGTGGGGTTGGGACAAATACTTCACAGAGGTAAGATGTCAGAAATATGTTATACTTGCTTAATTAGTTTTTTCCAAATTGATACCCTGTTAAAACATAGTTCTTATCGTCTTGGCATGAGTCTGTTTCATAATAAAAGGTATATTTTGTTAGCCAGTCTAACTAAGAACACTTTACTGAAATGCTGATTATTATTGGGTGATAGTTGTTAAAAGCTATGGTGTTGGGTATGTGTTGTTCATTGTGTTGACACCCTTCTTTAAGAGCCACTTGAAGTGCCTGGATCACTTCCATCCCAGCTTGGTTTCCACAAGACACCAGGAGTTGAGCTTCTATCTTGCCATTTTTTCCTTCCAGGCAGTGAAAACCAGTGAGTAGGACAGGTGAACTATATGATGTGTCACCCACACTGCCTTGGCCAGTCAGCATGAGAAGCTGTGGGTCTGTAGTACCCAAGGAGTTCTTAAGCACAGTCTCTTGATTTTACATATTTCAAAAGGAGAAAGCCTCCTTTTGTTGTCTCTTCCCCAACCCTCCTTTCACCCAGTATCTCACTCAGTACCTCTTTCAGGGCAATCTTATGGTCATGATGCTACCTACCCCAAGCCCCTATCAGCCTCAGACTCCTAGCCTATTCCATTGTCATTGTCGTAAAGTGGGGAAACAGATCGATTTTCAGCAATTTTATTTTTTTATTGAAGTATAGTTGATTTACAGTGTTGTGTTAATTTCTACTGTACAGCAAAGTGATTCAGTTATACATATATATACATTCTTTTTCATATTCTTTTCTATTATGGTTTATCACAGGATATTGAATATAGTTCCGTATGCTATACAGTAGGACCTTATTGTTTATCCATTTTATATATGATAGTTTGTGTCTGCTAATCCCAAACTCCCAAGCCATCCCTCCCCCACCCACTTCCCCCTTGGCAACCACAAGTCTGTTCTCTATGTCTGTGAGTCTATTTCTGTTTCGTAGATAAGTTCACTTGTGTTGTATTTTAGATTCCACATATAAGTGATATCATATGGTATTTGTTTTTCTCTTTCTGACTTACTTCACTTGGTATATAATCTCTAGGCCCATCCATGTTGCTGAAAATGACATTATTTCATTCTTTATTATGGCTGAGTAGTATTCCATTGTACGTATGTACCACATCTTCTTTATCCATTCATCTGTCGATGGACATTTAGGTTGTTTCCATGTCTTGTCTGTTGTAAGTAGTTCAGCAAATCATTTTACTGCCCTGTTAAGTTTGGTTCTGTTTTTATAGAGGCCTACTTAACTAGATTATTATATTTTGTCTAGTTATTTCTAAAGCACTTTTTCATTTTCTGATAAAAGAAGTAAAAGACTGAGCTGTATGATTGCATTCTGATCACGTTTCAGGAGAGATAACCATTATATTGAATAATGGAAGTGGGATCCAAAAGGACATTGTTGGAGGGTTGTGGTAGAGCTGGCCTAGATCCGAGGAGGCCTGGAAAAAAAGGGCTATAGGACCAGAGGGAAACTGGGAATCTGGGGAAGCCTAGACCAGGAACACCAGGCAGCAGACAGGCTATAGCAAGCCACAGGGGTGATGCCTGCTGTGAGGTCTGTAAATAAAGAGTTGATAGCACCTGAATCGTCGTGCGTTGAGGACTGTCTATTCAAAGGATTAGAGACACACACTGCCCTTAGAGAAGAATACAGTCTGGCTGCTTATCAATCCTGACTTACTGTGTCTACCCAGTTGGATTTGTCTCAGTCATTGCCAGACCACTCTGCCTCGAATCCAGGCTTCCCTCAAGTCATCCTTGAGCTATACGGCAAACGTTTCCTAGTTACCATCCACTTCCATCTTCTGTAGTCTCACCCACATAGAGCATTAAAGAAAATATACCTAACATAACATTTTGAGCACCTCTCCCCTGTTCAGAAGGAAAATGAGAGCTGCCATCTGTCTCATATTAACTCTAAACTCATTGTTTGCTTTACCAAATTGTTGTTCTTCCTCTTCTCTTTTTAGTTCTTTCACCTCCAGTTAAAGCCTGGGCTAGATACTCTACTTCCACTAGAACACTTGTTATCCTTCTACTTTCCACTTATATTTTTCTACCTCTGAGTATTTTTACACTTACTCCCTGTCTAGAATGACACTCCTTTCTAGTGCATGTCCCCACTGTCTTACCTGCTTAATTCACTTATTGTAGACTCATTTTGTCATTCTGTACCAAAAAAAGAAAAAACACTGGCCAGTAGAGAAACTGATAAAGAAACAAATGATTATACCCAGGGCATGAAGAAAAAGGGCTCTGATGACAGAATACCTAAGTTCAGATATTCACTCTGCCTCTTACAAGCTGTGAAGCCTTGAGAAGGGATATAATCTTACAAAACCTCAGTTTCCTCACCCATAAATACTTTAGTTTTTATGGGTGAGGAAACTGAGTTATTGTAAGGATTAAATGAAATAATACATTAAAATTGTGCCCATGTTGCAGGTCAGATAGCTACTATAGGTACAGTTGTTTGGAGTTGTTTGTGGGTATTTCTCATCTGTTTGTGCTGCCTTCTCATTGTGTTATACCTCAGCTGCAAGAATCCTATATTCTACTACTTTTCCATTTTATCTCAGGAAATATCTCTATGTGTTCTGGTTTACTTCCAAGAGTAAATATTTTATTAAGATGCTCTTTTATGTAGTATATTTTTACATGTACTTTGATTTAGTTCTAGCAGAGAAGAATCTCGTGCCAGATGGAATTTCAGTGTATGTCTATTATATAACATTGATCCATGAGAATACCACAATCTTTCAACCCCATTCCTACCTTTTGCACAGTGACAAGAAGGGAAAACACATACAATTTGCATATATATGCACAGGTAAATGTTTATATTCACAGATCTTCTTCACCCATCACAAAGATACTAATCATTGACCACCTTCTTCATGACATAGATCAACACACACAGAAAGATAAGCACATACATACGCATGTGCATGTAAAATATTATATGTATGAAGTACTTTATACTGTCCAGAGCACTTTTTTGTAAGTATATGTGTATTGGTTCACCTGCTTCACAGGGAAAAACCAAGATGCAGATAGAGCAAGAATTTTTAACCCCATTTTATAAATGAGGAAATTGAGGCACTGATGTTAAATTCATTAAGCACGTATTAATTCATCATGTCCTTGCTAAGTCCTAGGCTTTGAGTGAACACATTGTGGTGAACAAATAAATAGACACTTCCCTGCCCTCAATGAGCTTTCAGTCTAGATGAGGAAAGAGACTTTAATTCCACAAATAACTATTTAATTTCTACATAATATGTAATGTGAAGGGTAAGTACAGAATACTGTAAGCATAGATAATCGGCATCCTAACTAATATGAAGTGTTAGGGAATGCTTTCCTAAGCAAATAACATTTAATCAGACTATGCTATGATAAATAAGTAGGAATTAAGCAAAGACAGGGGAACGTTGGAGCCAGAGGACCCACCGTGTTAGACGATCCCTGAGCTGGAAGGAGCCAGGGGTGTGGGAGGAACAGGGAGCAGCCAGGTGAGCTGGAGTGTAGTGAGTGGGGGAAAGAATGGCTCCTGGTGGGGCTGGAGAGGTAGTCAGGGGACATTTGGTTTGGAGTCCCCTGGAGGATTTTAGAAAAATACGTCCTATAGCAGTGGAGGCCATTGGGTTTTTTGGGGTTTTTTTTTAAGCAGATAGGGATGACATAATCATATTTGTGTTTCTAAAGAAAGAAATTTTGGTTCCAGAATGGAAAATGGATTGGAAGTTGGAGGGACAAGACAGGAGAGGAACACAGGGAGACCAGTCAACAGGCAGTAGGTACCGGTGTTCCAGGAAAGAGACAGGGATGGCAGCTGTGACCTAAGTGGTGGCAGTGGCTGTAGGGAAAAAGGGTCACACTTGAGATATTTAGAACATAGAATTGACAGAATTCAGTGATTAAATGGCTGTTGGAGGCACGAGAGAAAGTTGTCAAGAATGACTCCCAAGGCAAGGAGTCCAACGTGTAACTTGATGCCTAGTCCATTATGCCTTCTAGTATACCAATTTGTAGACGCTTTTATAATGTATGTAAGAGGGAAGCCGCTTTTGCTATTGCAGCTGTTGTTTTCCAGCTGCCCAAACAGCAAGACTCCCCAGTCTACTGTGTAGATCTGAAGGATTTGACTGAGAACCAGGGTCTGTGCAGAAGACTATATTGGGCTATATTTGGGACATTCCCACCACTAACATCTTTAAAATAGTAAAGATTCTACTTACTAGCCTGATAAAAGGACAAAGCTGTTGATGACACTTCCACGTTTGTATTTACTCACATTTTAGAGGAAAGACCTGACAATTTATCTTTCATTGGAACCATGACTTTATGTTAGATATTCTTTTATATATAGTTATAAAAGAAAAATATATTTAAGCCCTGAAAATAAGCACTGATTTACATGCCTAGGGCATGAAGGAAATCGAGTGTGTTCTGCCAATTTTTCATGTGTTATGTTTGTTTGATTTTTGGATCAAGCTCTGATTTGAGAGTAATCGCGAATGATTTTAGAGTGTAAAGATTTGAATCTTTTACCCACTTGGTGTAAAGGGGAAGAGCAGTAGCAAAGCGTGGTGGCATTAATAAGATATAGATAAAACCAAGGTGTTATTTTTCAAGCCAAATTGAATTTTACTCGCCTCGTTATTTTTTAAACTACTTGCAAGCCTGGATTATTCCATAGACTGGTATAATAATGGTCTAATAGAGTGAATCGTAGCAGCAGAATGATTTCTTAGCTGCAAGATAGTTTTATTTTTCTCAAAGGACAGTGTTTGTAGGAAAATGTGGTAGTGTGAATAGATTTGAATAAACTGCTAAATTTTAAATTAAAAAGCTGTATTTAACATTATGGTTGAAATTTTACACATACAAAATGTCAGGAAATTCTAAATTATAGTTCCCACAACAGCAGTAATTCAGCCAAATTGCACATATGTATTAAGGCATTAAAGTTAACACTCTGTGCAATCATGTAATAAATACATATGCATAAGAAAGCAAGTTATAGCAGCTTTGGGAACCATCATTTTGCATTTCCTGACTTGTACATTCAAAATCCAAGTTGAAATGTGTACAAATGTAATTGTGTTGAATTTCCATATGTACAAATTCAACTTCATAAATTGCTAACAGTTTAAAAGGAAATACGGAATTGTTTATGAAACTTAAGATTTTAAGTGTTTAATTATTGTTGTGATTAATGCTTTTAGAAATACAAAGCATTCATTCTCAAAGAAACTTTCAGGCCAAAATATATTTGCAATTTTGAAGTTAAGTTATCTGAGTTTTAGAGGGAAATAAGTGAAAAAATATATAGTGATGGATTTTATTTTATGTTTTAATTGCAGAAGTATTATATGCTTTTTGAAAAAAATAAAAAGTCAAAATGTATAAGGAGAAAGATAGTACTCTCCTTCCTTCCTCTCCATTCCCAGCCCTCCTGAGGCAACCAGTGATAGCTGCATGGTATATTACCTTCCACATTTTTCTCCATGTTCTTACAAACTTATTATAAACACCTATACAGGAAAATTGGCGGGGTAGTTTTTACAAAAACAGGATCGTGTTATATATGTTATTGTGTACCTTGCCTTGTGCACCTCTATGTCAGTAGTTAAATCTAATTAACTCTTTTATCAACTGCCTAATATTCCATAGTATAAACGTTATTCAGTCTTTTCCCTCTTTGATAGCTATCCAGGTGGTATCCTGTTTTTTGCCACTTCAACAGCACTGCAGTAGAAATTATTCTTGAGATACACGCCTATACTCTGGTGCTTTTATTTATATGTAATATATTCCCCAAAATGGGATTGCTAGTGCAGCAGCTAGGTATAATTTTAATCGTAAAATAATGCCAAGATTTTTCCCAAAAGGTTATAGCAGTTCGCATATAGTCTGAGAGTGCTAATTTTTGCTAACTTAATTGGGTTAAATATATATTTCATGGTTGCTTGAAATTTTAATTCTTTATGTAGTATTTTAACTTTTTAATGAATGCTGTATGCCAGACACTGTCATGAGCACTTTATCAATATTAACTTGGTTAGCTCCTCATAATTCTTCTATGAGGTGTGCATTATTATTTCCATTTGACAGATAGGGAAGCTGAGTCACAGAGAAGTTAAGTTACTTGACTACAGTTACCCAGCTAGGGAATCAGCATTTGAATGTAGGCAATCTTATCTACACTCTTTAACTACTAATCTATGCTACCTATATTAGTGACATAGAATTATATTTTTAGGTTTTTTTTCTTTGTTGTCATTTGTAAGCACCCTTTATCAGTATAAGTATTTGACTATGTGTTGAAAATGTTTTCTTTCACTCTATTATTGGTCTTTTCCCTTTGTTTTTGGTATCTTAAAAACTCTTTGTTATTTCCTTTTACTTTTTAGATGATCAAATGTATCTATATTGATTCTAGTTTTAAAATACTTCAAACAATGGAGAAGTTTTCTTTAAATCACAATTATTATACAAATCAAATGGTTTGCAGCAGCAATTCATAATTCTTACCATATATTATCATTTTACTCCTGAAGTTACTATGTACTATATGAATTTTGAGATTTGCTTGGCATTTCGGTTCCTCAGGTTGTCACTGAGTACCCGTTATGTGCTGAGTATCGTTCTAGCAGTTCTACCCTCTCTCATCAGCAGCATTTTTCCCTTCACTGCATCTTTGCCGTCAGTATACAAACCTTTTTCCTTCTTAAATATAACCTGCTCTTAACCCCACTTCCTTTACCAACTACCACTCCACTTAAAGAAACTGCTTAGATGTACCTTACCAGTGAAGCCTATGCAGACTCTTGTATTTAAAATTATAACACACTTCCTCCCAGTACTTTCAATTTTATCGACTCTACTTTTTATTTCATTTAAAGCACTTTTTACCTTCTAACGTGCTACATAATTTATGAGTATTTCTTCTCGAATTAGAATCTAAGCTGTTTGAGGACAGAATCTCACCAGCACATAGTAGTCTTTCAGTAAATACTTTTTAAGTGAGTGAATGAATACATTAATGCCAAGTAGTGGGGAAACAGAAAAAAATAAGATATTGTCCCAGCACAGAGAAGATATTGTCCCAGCATTTCAATACAATGTGGCAAATTCTGTGATAGAAGCATCCTGAAATTTTCATTAGGAAGGGAAACACGTAAAGAAGGTAGCTTAAGTGAAGATCTCCCTCAGACAAATTTGAAAACCATTGAACTAAAAGATCTACACATCCATTTTTTTTCTTTTATATATGTAAATATACTTATGTGCATATATGTATCAGTATGCAAGATCTTAGTAAAATAGGTAGGTTTGTGCAGAAATTTAACCCGAAAGTTCAAATAGGTAATCAGACCAATAGTATAAAAATTTATACTCCGATTCATCTTTACTTTTCTGTTGTTTACTCGGTAATCTGTAATATGTGGTATAGTCTATGAATAAATCAGTATATTTTTATATTTAAATTTAACAGGAATTTCTAATGTACAGTTCTTTTTCTCTGAACAGAGCGTGTGACCATCTGCGTTGTATAGCCTGTGATTTCTGGGTAGTAAGCTACGATGACTATGGGTGGGACAAATCATGTGATTACCTGTTTCTCAGGTATGTTTCTAAAGAACTTCACTCTGTGAAAAATGTACTTAATATACAACTTTATATTTCTTACTGTGCAGTAATGCCTCTTGGTGGCCTTGGCCAGATTGTGTGGCCTCCACCTCTTTGATATTTCTCACATCATCTCCTCCTTTCCATCTGTCTGCTGTCAGCCTAGTTAAGGACATGTTACTTCTGGACAGGAGTTCAGAAGTAGCCTCCTCACTGATTTTCCTGTGTACAGTCTCTTCTTCCAGACCACCCTTCACTTGCTGAGAATTAAAGCATAACTCTGAGTATGCCATCCTCTTGCCCAAAACCCTTCTGCTTACAGAATAATGTCCAAATTCCTCAGCATGGCATTCAAGACCTTCCATAATCCAGTCCCCAACTATCTATCACCCAGCTTTGTTTGTCTTTCCATGGTATACTTTTCATCTTTGCAAGATTTTAGCTACATCAAAACAATGCTCCCGGGGCTTCCCTGGTGGCACAGTGGTTGAGAGTCCGCCTGCTGATGCAGGGGACACAGGTTCGTGTCCCGGTCCGGGAAGATCCCACATACCGTGGAGTGGCTGGGCCCGTGAGCCATGGCCGCTGAGCCTACGTGTCCGGAGCCTGTGCTCCGCAACGGGAGAGGTTACAACAGTGAGAGGCCTGCATACTGCAAAAAAAACAACAACAAAAAAAACAACAACAACAAAAAAAGCAATGCTCCCATAATGCTCCCATTCCCTATGACTTTGTATAAACCCTCCACCTCTTGGGCTACCTTCCCACCATTTTATCTATCTATACCCTACCTGTCCCTCAGGGTATGGTTCATTGCTTATCTTCTGTGATTCCCTTACCACTCTCTCAACTTGGCAGTAAACTCATCCTCTTCCGTGTCCACAGCACGTTGTACCAGTTATAGCACTTACTGTAATAAAAGACTGAAAATATCTTAGGTTGGTGTATGTCTGCCTCCCTCCTTGTCATTGGGATAGTATCTTACTTATATTTTTGTAATTTGTACATCCTTAAATACTCAGTGAATACCTAATGTTTTTAAGTTATAAAAATGTATTTGAACTATACATTCACATTTTCAAATAAAAATTAAGGGCTAAAAATTAGTAAAGTACGCATATCATGCATTTTTGGCCCCCCAAACCTGTGCCTAAGCAAAGACTATATTTTCAGATACAAGTCATTAGAATTATTGCAGCACTCTTCAGTAGCATAAAGAAGACAGTGAGAGGCTTTCTTGACACCTCTCTGGCATCCATTCTCATGTAAATCTCTAGGAGTCTCCTCTAGTGTTAATGTAAGAGTTTTTAAGCTTTTCACATCAAGAACTGTTCTGAAAATCTGAATCCTCTCAACATACGCACAGAAAAATTCAAATATGCAGATACATAGAAAAATTACAATTTGAGAGATTTCATAGTACCCAACCCAAATAAAGCCTAGTGTGGTCCCAAAATCCCAGGTCAAGAGCCCATACTCTGGGGCTCTGAAGCTCAGATTAAGAAATGTAGACTGTAAAGTGGTAGATGAAACCATGAAACTGGATGATATTACCCAGAAAGGTGACTTGGAAGCCTGTCAGTGAATGCAGAGTTAAGGGATCATTTAGTTAAGATAGGAGATGCTGGGACTTCCCTGGTCCAGTGGTTCCCTTAACCGCTGGTCCAGTGGTTAAGAATCAGTCTTGCAATGCTGGTTCGATCTCTGGTCAGGGAACTGAGATTCCAAATGCTGCAGGGCAACTAAGCCCACGTGCTGCAACTAGAGAGCCCGCATGCCGCAACTACAGAGCCCACACACTCTGGGGCCCATGTGCCACAACCAGAGAGAAGACCGCACACCACAACGAAGAGCCTGCATGCCACAACGAAAGACCCCACGTGCTGCAGCTAAGAACTGACACAGCCAAAAATAAGTAAATAAATAAATAAATATTAAAAAAAAAAAGATAGGAGATGCTCTGATGTTTATATTGTGGGGGGGTGGGGAAGACAAGAGAAGGGAAGGTCATGTGAGTAACAAGGTCCTAGAGGCTTTGGGGTCTAGAGTGCTGATGGAAAGTGGGCCTTGGATAGGAAGAGGCTGCCTCTGTGCCTGGGTGGAAAGAGGTCATATACTGATGTGTTCAAGGGGAAAGCTAGGAAATGGAGGCCTTTTCACATCTCACTGCCTGATTTTGTGAATGAAGATGTGATCTGCTTGAAAGTAGAGGGGAGATGAAACACTTGAGGGCAATAAGTGTATCCTAGCTTTGACAAGTTCTAGAACTTTCTTAAAGAAGTATAAGCTATACTTGACCATCCTGCCATAATAGCTAAATAAAATGCTCTTATTTTTCTATTAAACTGTGTTTGCTTTATGGGAAATAATGAAGTTTTCTTTCTCAGCTTTTAAAATGTATTAATTATTGATAGTTCCTTGGCTTTCATGATTCCTATTCCTGAAATCTCTAAGTATTCAATCAAGTGTCACATGTTAAGTTTGTCAAAATATATTGCAGATTGAATAAAGGACAGTCCTTCATTTAGCCGTTTAGTTTTCATTAAATACATTTAGTTTTGTTCAGCTTTTTTCTTTGTAGTAAAACTTATTCAGTTCTTCCCCTATCTCACTGTAACCTTAGCTAAGTTGTTCAGCTGGTCGAAGTCTCAGTTTCCTGAAGTCAGACAATTGGCCTGGAAAATCTCTTAGGTTTTGTTAGGGTCTAACCTCAATTGTGCCTGAATTTTGTGCAGTACTGAATGTGGTGCCCATTGGCCACCAGAGGGCACTTTGTTTCCTGCTTTCTGTTGCAGTGACATCAACAAGTAACAGTTAACAGTGTATTTCTTTCTTTAAAGATACTTATACTGTATTTCATCATTTCACTATGTATGTTTTCATCATTTCACTTTGAATTTTTCATTTTCTTTTGTCATGGAATATTTACATAAATTCAGTACATGGATTATGAAAATCATAATTGATTTTCTATTAATTAAATATAACTTCTGGAGTCTTTTTTATAATAGCATCAAGTATGATGGTTATCGTTTTTCATGAGTTCTGCGCATAGGTTTAATTATGTTAAAATTACTGACATCTATTTCAGGATAGGCGTTTGTTTTGTTTCTGGTAGTGTACGGAAATAAGCAGTTCATTGAAACAAATGAGATATAATATGAATTCAACACATAGAAATAACAAGCACTTTTTCTCTATTAATGAAAACTTTCTATAGTTAACCCATCAGAAGGCTGCTATCTTTATGCCTCTTATATGCCCTCCATTTGCCACACTGCTGGCTTTTTTTTTTTTTTTTTTTTTTT